ATTTTACTACATAATATTATAAATATGTTAAAATATTAATAATTTGTAAGTTTGAATCAAAAGTTGATTTTTGTAGTTTACTTAATTACCAATTAAAGAATACAGTTTTTTTTAATTTTAAATGTATTTTTAAGAAAAGTAATGATAATAAATATTATACTATTTTCAGAAAAAAATCAAATGTTTGAGTATTTTTAAATTTTTACGCTACTTTTTTTTTTGTTTTATTTAAAAATACTCCTCAAGTACCAGGGTCATTGGCGATTCTGAAGAAACACATTACATTTTACATTTTACAGTTAATTTTATACGCTATTTTACTATAATTGTTCTTGTACATTTAACATTGGGAATGAAATAAAATTAAGTACATGTTGTTAGGAAAAGTGTTTTGGTAAAAATATTTTAAAAATTAATTTAATTTTTAACCAATTTAATTTCTGGCATAAAGTATTAGTGGCTTAAAACATGAGAAAATAATAATAAGTACCCAACATGAAATTATAAACCTAAAATGTTTGCTACAAAAGAGAAAAAAGTTGAACTTTTTTTATAGTGATGCACTTACCCTTACAATGTTAATCAAAATGTTGTGTGTATATAGAAATACTTTTTTTGATCCATGGGTATGTAAAACTATATTATTATAATGTTTAAAAGAGCTCTTGAATTTATCTTTAATGTTCTTTTATGAAGAAAAATAAATATTTTTATTCAACGTACAACGAAGTATAGAAATTGATTATTATTAAAGTTCATAATAACCAAGGCACAGATATTGTTTTATTTGCATATTTTACTATTACATTTTATATATTATATTACCCATGCTCTTTGAAACATTATTTGAGTTTAAAGTTATTTAAACTTCAATATTGTATGGTTTGTCGTCCATGTATATAATTTATTTCGTCAATATTCCAGATTTTTGAATCGATACTATTCGATTGAAATAACAAACTTAATTTTCAGTATTTTAATTAAAAAATGTATAGGTTCATTTTTAATAAAATTATTTAGTTCCCAAACATCAAGTAATAATATTTTTAATGTAAATTTGTTTTCACTTTCATTTAAAAGTTAACGTTTAACGTGTTATAATTTATAATGAGATATACAATTAATATATACTCACACTTTTCAACAGAAATGTAGATATCTTTATATAATTAAAAATTTACATAATCTGACCACTGAATATTTTTAAAAAATATCATACAAAAAAGAGTTCTAAAAAATATAAAGTTTTTTTAAAGTTCACCCAAGAAATAATTGTGGTAAAAAAGTATGTACGACTGATATAACTGATATAAAAAACTATTTTTTTAAATATTTAATCCCTAGATTAAATATTATTATTTTTTAGACTTTATCAGGCATAGCGTATTGCTTAGGTACTTATATTTCAATGTGTATATTATATACATTCAAACATTAAAAAATTAATATTCTTTGTATGTTGATGAATAAGCCTCTGTTTCAGTTAAACCACTTGAGTGAATAATACGTAAAATAATCCAATGTCGTACTTTTTTTGTAAGTCATTCTATGCCATTTTATAAACGACTTTTTATTGAATAACTACAAAAATTACTTCTATGATAATGAAATCGATGAGTAGTACAATTAATAAAAAATATATCGGAAGATTGTCACAATAGTTTTTTATTTTATGTTTCTTGAATACACGAATAAATGAAAATATAAATAATTTATAATGCATTTATTATTTAATAAATCATTTATTTTCATAACAAAAAATGTGTATTAGAAAAGTTGAAGTTATTGTTATTAAATTGTTGGCACTATATATGCTGATAGTATTCTCGTGTTGTATAAAATATTTTGCTATAATAGTATTTCATTAGAGCTTAGATTGGATAGTGATATTTTAACCGTCTAAATATTTAAATTTAAATTGCTATTTAATTACAAGAAACCTTCCATCAAAATTACTCGTTTCATTATTTTTATAAAATATATTTTATTGGTAGCGTTACCTGACAATTAGTACATATAATTTAGATTAAGTATCTATTTGAATTAAATTGAATTGATATCTGGTTAAAGAAAACGATTTCAATATCCATGAAATAAACCAATTACCATGTCCTACGATGCAGACTCTACCCACTAAGCTTCATTAAATTAAACCATAAATCAAATTCGATCGTATGCTTTTAATGAGCTATTCAACTCCGTTTGCTGAATTGATAAGTAGTTTATGTTATCATAGATAATTAAAACGTATGCAGTGTTTACATAATCTTTTCTCTCGCCGTATGGCGATTGTATCACAACATCAGAACAAGTAAAACCTACCCGAATTACTAGCCAACATACTCCACAATCACGCTCAATCCATTGCTAACATCTTCTAATCCATCGGAGCTTCCAGTCCTCAAACCATATTTTAAAGTCATTTAGAATAAGTACTAAGGGCCATTATACTCGATATTCTTTTATTATTATTATTATTATTATTAAGTACGCAATACATTATGTTATCGATTAAATTATATTTTGTCAGCCCAATATGGCCCATGTTTTTATGAATAGAAAAAAAAAACTTTTTCTGGAATTAATTTTTTAGGACACTTAGTACAATTTATTATGGCTGGTTAATTGTTGCTGTTAGTTAAAATAACATTGCGAAGGTACTAGGTAGGTATACCACGTTGTACACAAATATGATTATCCCGAGTAGATTTAATCTGGTGTAGAATGTATGGAATGAGATTCCAACAAGCATGTCAGATTTATTGAGTAACTTAGGACTTAATACGAGTGGGATTTAATTTAATGGAAAACCAGTGCGCAAGCTTAGTATAAGACCTACTCGAAAAGTTCCTATGTAGGGATTTGTTTTTCTATGAAAAATAACAAACAATCGATAAATGATTAATATCTCGTTAAAGATTAATTTTTTTTGTACCCACGTTATATTGATTTATTTTAATTTAAAAAGATTTTTTGTTATACGCTTTCATATTTTATATAATTTCATGACTATATCCACCTACACCTACCTACCTAATATTTGTATTATTATATTTAGTATAATACCATTAAAACAGAAGACTGTTCGTATTATTCATGTAACTGGTTTTAAATTGGCAGGGCTTATAAAACATAAAATAATATGGAATCGGGACTTGAATTTAATCCTCTATCTACATATTTTCTATGCCAGGGGACAAGGGTGGTCAACTTTAAAACATCTAAGTTTTTCCGGGTTGTCAGAATCGATTTACCCTAAATTAATAAATTAAAGAAATCGCTCTGCTCGGAATTTTAAACATTAGGTTAAAATTAATTCAAGAAAAGATGGGAGGAAGTCGCGGTTGACTCAAACCATGTCGCGATCAACCTGTTGGCCATCAATGTTCAATAGACCAACGACTGCCTACTACTATCGTACTTCTATATGATTTTAATTTAGTAGGTTGATTTTTATCTAAGTTTATACATTTATAATATGGGTTTTAAGTAGTTATCGATTTATACGTTACTAGTATGATTGTGCCAAAACCCATTTTGGCATCAATAATACATTAGTGAAAATAATCATTAAACTTTAAATATAAATCACAGTGACAGAGAAAAGTAATTATATTATAAAGGCATTATTAATGAGTTTTTAAGCTGGATATATAATTTAAAATCGTTAACATATCAAATAAATGTTACTGTCAAAAAAACAAAATTTTGCACGTTGACACTTGGCAATTCAAGAATTATTCAGTGAAAACCTTACAATGTATAAACAGTCGTTTTATTATGCGACAACTGCTCTGATCGATTGTACTGAACGAGAAAATCGTGCAATTTTGGCCAACCAACTCAAAACGTATTATATTCTTGGGCAAAACATCAAATCGCAATCACGCTGGTGAAAAAAAAATGTCATAAATTCACTCTCGTCGTCCCGAATATTTTATTCGTTTTGGAAATAATGCGTTTTTAAGCGGCTGCAGCAGAGAACAAATTGAACTTTCGTTATTACCAATAATACAGATGATTTACGAAAAAAGAAAAAGAAGAATTTTATTCCACACAGGTTTTGTATATAACATAAGCTTAAAGTTTTTTATCCATTTTACGGCCTTATCTAATCGAGCAATATATATATGCATTCAATATGCACGTTTTTGATGCATTTTAATGTATTTTTCGTTCCAACGTTGGGACCGTCATTAGGTATATTTTTTTTTAGTACTTATGCCGTTTTAGAATGTTGATACCAAACATGACAAATGCTCGGAGAAAAATATTTAAAATTAAAAACTTATTTATTAAGGTTAATTTTTTTGTCGCCAATTTTGTACGTACTTAATGGTACTTAATTAATACCCAGCCCTCTAGATGTACTGATGTATTCGAGTTCGAGACAATAAAATCTGTGACTAATTTCTAATATCATATTTATACTATAAAGAACCTTATTGCTTCCAATAAATTGCTCCAAGGGAGTTAATATCAATATTTTCAAAATATTTTGTTAAAATCATCCAAATTCAAAAAAAATAAAATTATTCTCAATGTCCTTCATAATTATGCAATTTTATTTTGATCCAAAATGGAATAAGATATGATACAATATTATTTTAATCCGACTTCCCGCATACGTATTACGAGTATTTGGGTTTATATCAGAACACACCGTCAAGCCGATCTGTCGTAGGTATATACCTATCCGCTAATGAAATGGGTTACGTTACCGTTTTGACTCTCAACGTAAAAAACTCACGAAGAATATTAATAATCATTATAATATCATAGATTATTATAGGTACGTTTTCGACCAGTGATTTCGACGACCGTATGCCACGACCGCGTTCGGCGCGTCTGCTGGCGATTCATGCCATGTCGGTGGTCGGCGGCATGGGCGCGCGCGCGAGCATACTCTCTCACTCGCTCTCTCTCGCCCACTCACACGCTGTTTCTCTACGGTCGTTCGCCGCCGCCGCCGAAACCCGCGTGTCGGCCACCGAACGTTGCCGTCAGTAGTTCGGGTGTTGGCGTCGTCACGCCGCGTCGGTTTCGCGGGAAAAAATATCGCACGCACACGCGGACCACCCACCCCATTGGGACTGCGAAAAACCCGAAAATTCTAAACGTTTCCGGAAACGGTCGAACAACTGGACAAACGCGCGGGCAGACCTCACGACCGTCATTGTTCGGGTGTTTTTTTTTTACGCTATTTTCATTAAAAATTGGTTCAATATTTTCTCACACTGTTTCACGTGCCACCGTCGTGATAACGCTGAGTATTACTTCATCGTGAAGACACACAACGATAAGGTGAGTGATGGGTTGCGGAATATAATATTTCCGATACACATAGTCTTACTATCACTTATTAAAGCCCGGAAATTATACCCTTACTATTTTCAAATCGAGTCCACTCAACAGGTGTGTCGACTTTTTCATCTAGCCGAATCCTCAAGCGAACATGTTATCGTATACATACTCTCTAGTTTCAAAATATATACATAAGTTTAATTATTGTTTAAATCGACCAAATTCGATTTCCCATTGCCTTTCTCCCTTATCCTCGTAGCACGAAAGTTTTGATACCTGTACCATATCGAGATATTATTATTAGTATCCAGATATATGCTACCCTTTCGCCGAGACTTTTGAACTCGAAACCGACTCTAACTCAATATTTATCCTTTTGTCTGCCATCATTACGATATTGGGCCTTTTATACGGTACCTCCGCGATTCTTTTATAAATGGCTTACCCATAAAAAATTGGTTCTAGTGTGTTTCTAAGTGGTTCTAAATAATATCATTGTTGTTTCGGAGTAGGTACGTATTTTGGGGGTTTGTTTGATTCGCGTCCTTCTTTAATACTTTATGGACCACGTCACAACATCGAAGAATTATATTTCACAAATTATATAATTTTTTATAGTGTTTTAATTTGTTAGTTCCCTTTTTATTATTTTAATGTTTATAAATTATAACAGTGATTGCGAATATAGTTTATGCTACTTCTAGAAAATTCCTTAATATAGGCCTGCCAACCACTCCACTGTGTCACACATCCACACTGATAAAAAAAAGGTACCTTAAGGAGTGAACTTAACAAATCAATAAATACCTACTTGTATAATAACGGATGTGTCATACATTTCGTTTCAAGCATATTGTAAAAAACATTCGATCCTGGTAAAACTGATTTTTGTCGATCTTTGCCAACGATGAGCCGACAACACTTTTTACATATTACCACGCATATACTTATTGGAATATTGCATTTAATTTATTGTAAATACTACTAGGTAGTACTCCAAAATAAAATATAATTTAGACTCATGATATTTAGATGCATAGCTGCATCGGTGTGTTCCATGAAGTTGGGGACCCCCTAATCATCTCCAACATACAACTAATCAATATAATTATTTAAATACTGTTTTTTTCACAAGTAATCTATATAGTATATGAAATGGATGGCTTTAAATTGGAATTTTTCTTACAGTTTACTTTTGACACGCATAGATACCTACTTGTTCTAATCTTGTAAATATATACCTAGATTTAGTTACTTGTTGTCGAGCATTTAAAACTTAAATTGTCCACGTTATTCCATGAAATCATAATTAGCATACAAATATTTATTTTAACATAAGCTAGTATTTCAAAGCGATTGAAGTATAATATAATAAAGTTCGTATATGAGCAATAAAATATAAAAGAACCGTCAAGTTATCATAATGGTAAAGTCTTTCTAGATATTTATGTCAAAAATTAAATGGAAAAATAACCCCTTGATATAATGTAATATTTATTAGATTTTATATACGATTTCAGTTTCTGAGACATTTTAATTAAATAATAATGAAACTCAACACCCATGCAGATCACTGAACTAGACACAATAAAAAGCGTATTTTATAATATATTTCACTAGATTAAATTTATTAATATGTAAGAATGAAATCATATTAATTTTTATGACACTAGAGAATTAATTAAATTGTGTGAAAATTTAATAATGTATACATTTTTATATTTTATTATTAAAGTAGTTCAACTTTACATGTTGTCAACGATATTGTCGTTTTATTTAAAACGATTAGAAATCCCTAGATTATTGTTGTAAGCAATATTAATAATTAAAATATGTCAATTATCATAACAGTAAAAATTAATAAATAATGATTATAACATGAATGAATGTCTTTATTTACTAGTAGTAGTACGTACTAAATAAATTTCAAACATGATATATTATTAAATTTGTTTGAAATAAGAAAAGTTAATATTAAATTCATTAAGTTGCATTTTGAAATTAAAAATTATTAATTAACTGTACACTGCTGTAAACCTTTGTCGATGCAGATAAGTTACCTCGTATTTACAATACAGTCTTCAAAATAGAAAATAAATGAATGAAAATACCAAAATTGTTAAAAAAAGAGCCACATACATAAGATATCATAATACAAGTCCATGACAGATAATAATATGAGTAACGTATTATAAAATTATATTGTTATATAGCAAGATAAATAAAAATTCACAATCGTTGTGGCTCCTCTGTCATTGAATTTAATCCATAAAATAGTTTAGATAAATATTTTTCATCTATTTTACATAAGCCACTCAATAAAAACATGATTTTCTTAAGAAGATATAAATTAAAATCAAAATGTTAAATGTAAAAACACTAAAAACAAATATTTTTCAATTATAGTAAACAAATCTTATTATCTCGATTTACTTAATAAATCATCTAATAACATTCAATTTTATTTTACTATTATAATTTTATATTAACATAATAATTATTAATTTATTCATACTATATATAAAGAAATACGCACGTTTAGTTAAAATAATTGAATTGATGTTTTAATAATAATACACATTTTACCTTAAATTCTAACAACTTGACTATTAAGAGTGTTTAATTTAGTAGAATAGAAAAATAGCTAACTAACGAGTAGGTATTTACGTAACAAATCATAATTCAAATTTGTAAAGTTTGTTATAAAGTACTTAATAAAAAAATAAACTCTACATAAAATATTATAAATTGTAATGAACTAATTTAAATTCTTAAAATATTGTAAAATTTAAATTAAGAATGATAAATACGCAGTTTGATATAAAATAATCAAGCTACAAATTAAAATTAAAATTATTAATTTATTAAAATATCAGGGTAAGATGAAAATCGTTTTAAACTGTTATTTCTAATTATCTACGTTCTACAGACTTAAATCTCATCAAAATCAATTATTTTAATTTTGCAAATTCTAGGAGCTTAAGATATTTATAAATTAGTTATCTTACTGTCAAATATCAATATCGTTAAATACCATGTAACTTTAATTTGATTTCATACATTTTCGTATGGTATTTGAAAACATGTTCATATTATAGTTATATAAAATTATAATATACATTTAAATATTTAATAATTATGTTATAAAATAAAATATATAATTAATTAACAGTGACTTAAAAATATTAAACTATGAAAATCGACCCGTTGTCTTAAATTTTGATGTGTATGCCTATATACTATATAACTATAATATGATTATATTTTTTTTTATTGGTTTTGAGCCCGAAAACTAAGATCATTAGCTATGTAGGGGTTACTGTTTCTTGTGAGGTTAGGGTGGTTGGTTTGGCAACTCGTGTATGTGTTACAAGGTTTATACTACTTAAAACTTGGGTGGTCACCCATCCTGGAACTAGAATCAGAAAACGGTGCGTACTCTCAATCATGCAACTGATTGAAGCAACAGCGCCATGCCAAGGCCCATTATTATATATTTTATTCTCACATTTTGTAGGTAGGTGCTTATTGTTTTTAATCTTGTTCCTTCTATCAAATAATTGATAATCGTTTTAAACAACTATTTAAATTAATTCTTTAAATAGTTTATCATTGTTAATTGTATTCTCCAAATCCATAAGTCCGTTTATTCAAAACCTCAAATCATATAACTTAAAGAACAATTATATTGGAAGATATATATTCGAATTCAATAGATTTGAATTACTTTGATATGACTAGTTAATCACTGCTATAAAATTTTCCTTCCTGATTATAATACAGGTACTTAGAAAAGTGTTTAAATATCTAGTACTTACTGTTGTCAGGCACGTATTAATATGACAGGCATATTAAAAAAATGATATAAATTTTAAATTAATTAAAATTATCAATTTTTATGTCGGTATTGCAGGCCATTTATCAGGGATATATCATACATTAATGTACATTATCAAACGGTTAAGCAGAGTCAGTATTCAGTATTTAGTAAAAATGCCTCAACACCAATCCCAGTCTTAAAATAAAAGATGAGATTCTACAGTTTAAAAGTTAAATAGGAATCACAATAGTTGTTCTTGTGTATTTGATGCTTACTAATTTTAAATAAAACTAAACAAACTATATTCTCATTATATTTACCCTCAATTCTGAAAAATTGGTAATTTACGTATCTCAGTATGACAATACCGTAGGATCTTGCAAAAAAAGAAGAATTTGATACCAGCTAATACTTGTTCTTATAATTCTCTACATTACTAACATACATTTTTGATGATTACTCCTGTATAAAACCAGTACGTGGCTTTTCGTATAATTTTACCTACAGTGTATATACTTTTTGGGATTTTGCCAAGCTGTCAAATATTCATTCAATAATCATTCAATATTTCCAATCGGTATGTTTATTTACGGATCATTGCCAAACATCTTTGTGTGTCACAAAATAACTATGTGTAGGCACTTCGTTCTACGACATTAGAGTCACACTATAAGAATTCTCTCTATATTTTCAATACGATTCTGTGGAAAACTATATATAGTATGTTCGATCTATTCTCATCTCCTATTCGAAATTCCTCTAAACAATACACAACGAAGAAAGAAAATACATTATCACATAGACGACTCAAGTGCAACTGACGTAGTTTATATATAATTATTATTTATCACGTAATATTGTATAAGATGACATTTTTTCAATACATAAAAGCCTACTGATGAGAGTCATTCCAAGAGACTTCACTCCAATAATTGCATTTATTGATGATTTAATTATAAGTCAGAATTATAAATATAATTTGTATAATTAAATGTTAATAAAAGATGTATCTCTAAATGTACTAAATTTGATTACAGATATATAAAACATATTTTATATTTTTTCAAACTAATTTTTGAATAAAATTAAATTAAAGAGATATATATGTGGCCATAGTTAAACATGTAAACATATAATATGAGTATTTTATATAAAAATTAAAAGTTTCGTTTTTATTTTT